TTTTGCCCAAGTTTTGTGTTTATCAGTTATAATAATACTATGAGGTCAAGAAAATTGTCCTTAAGAAATATCCAGGTAAATTGTTTAATACACTAAAATATTATTACCAAATATTCTAGTTTCCTTGGCCCCTTCATGACTAGATTTTGAACTTAACAAAAAAAAAAAAGCAAAAGGCATAGGTTTTGACCTGGTCCCCTTTTGTAGTCTGATGGAACAAAGGTACCTGATGGTAGCAGGATAGGTCTAAGGGAAACAAGTCAACAGTGATTCTTACAAGAATTTGGCATTCCACAACATATCCAAAAATAAGAAAGTTATCATCTGAGCCAATAATATTTGAAATTTTTTACTTTATACTTAGAAAAATTCAATATGAGATTGAATTGGTTGTATTTAGGGATAGAGATTAGGATGAGACTGTTAGGAGCTGGGTTATCTAGGAATGTATTCTCTGGAGCAGTCTTATACAGAATACAAAGATTATCTGATGAAATTATCCAATAGTACTGCTATCTGGTATTAGAGAAATCCATGTTGGGAAAAGATAACTCAAGAGGTCATATAAATGCAGTTAAAGACCAAAAAGAAGCAGGAACTATTGTCCTCACAGGGAAGAAAATGGTTCCATTTGTGATTAGTAGTTACTGTGAGATAAAACATTGTCAGGAAACGAGACGGATGTCTTGCCCTCCTTTCAAGAATAGAATGTATTTTATCTTGAGTAAGCATTAAGAACTGCAACCTCTTTTGCTTTATTTAGTGTATATATAGGTCCATTTTCCAACTTCTACTCTGCTAAACTTTCTTGTTTGTTCAGTTACTTTGAAATGGTATAATGATGTCCTTTTGTGTTGGTGTACTTTGTTCTTTACGTTTAAATTAGACTAACAGAGAAAATGTTTATGGGGAACCAATTTTGGTCATCACTTCTGATTCCTGATGGTTAACATGGTTCTGATACCATGTACATCCCAGTTTTAGTGTTTCTATGTTTGTTTATAAATATGTCTAAGAGGGTTTTTTTCTTCTGTTGAAACTTACTTTTCTTCAAGATTGCTTCACTTACAAAAATTGTGAAGAAAAAAGTCTTATTTATGTAGTAAAACGTATTATTTAGCACTGTTGAAGCAAAAGTCAGGATATCACAAATCTGCAAAATGTCAGAGCTAAATCCTACTCTTTCAAAATGATGGGATCATAAGTCCCATTTTATTTTTATGATTTGGCTTGTACATTGTGAATATTTCAGTGTCTCTCCTATGCCAAAACACAAAATCACACACCCATGCACTCCAATTTGTTTCTTAGTTTGGTAATTTGTGACTACATATTGACACTGACCTAGAAATGTTCCCATTGCTGTTTTAAATCTCATGTCAGTGGAGAAGAAATTGAAATCTGCTTTGCACATTTCTGTCTGGTTTCTTGTAATTGTCCAAAATCTGACATTATCTGAGAAATGCTGATTGGACACTTGTGAGATAGTATTGTACCCAAAACATTTTAATAGTTGTGAAAGGAGAAAAATAGTTGCCCCACAGAATTTCCCATGTTTTTCTGTAGCTCAGAAGCTTACACTGATCTTAATGCAACTCTGTACTATAGCAGTAGTAACCTTAGCTCTGAGCCCTAGTAAAACATGCATAGTAAAAATGACTATTATGATGATCCATTTCCACGTTTTCTTCCTGAGAGCTTGGTGAAGCCCTCAAAAGCAGCATTCTGTTCCAATTTTCTTCATCAAGCTGTCAGTACTCAGTAACAAAGACAGGGAGAGAACACACTGTTTCCTTAATCTTAACACCTTGCTGATTCAAAATAATTTATTTTAAGGCATTTGCAAAGAACCCTCGAACAGCTAACATTCATTTCTAATTATACATTTAAAGAAATACACCTTTTAAAACATTCTTTTTTATTAACATGATTTTAATTTACAGCAACAAAGCAAAATAATTAGGCTGTCAGCTTTGTAGATCTCAGTTTGCAAAGGAAAAAGAAGTATGCATTTTATGATATATGCATAAAGCCAAAGTAGTTGCTTTTGTGTGCATGGAGACAAGAGTTCATGGAAAATCAAAAACATTTAATTTGCTTTCTGAGCTTTGCAGCTGCTCTTACCTTAGTTACTTGTCTTTTCAAGTAATTTTTAAAAGAACACCTTAGAAGTTTTTTTTTTTTTTAATTTATATTAGTTATTTGAGAGAGTTACAGAGAGAGGTAGAGTGAGAGAGACAGGTTTTCCATCCGCTGGTTCACTCCCCAGATGGCTGCAAGGGCCCGAGCTGCACTGATCCGAAGCCGGGAGCCAGGAGCTGCTTCTGGGTCTCCCATGCTTTCCCAGACCATAGCAGAGAGCTGGACTGGAAGAGGAGCAGCCAGGACTAGAACTAGCACCCATATGGGATGCCGGCATTTCAGGCCGGGCTTTAACCTGCTGTGCCACAGCGCTGGCCCAGAACTTGTAACATTTAATATAAGCTTATAAAATCCATATTGGGGCCAGCACTGTGGCATAGCGGGTAAAGCCACTGTCTGCAGTGCCGGCATCCCATATAGGTGCCGGTTCAAGTCCCAGCTGCTCCACTTCCAATCCAGCTCTCTGCTATGGCCGGAGAAAGCAGTAGAAGATGGCCCAAGTCCTTGGGTCCCTGTGCCCACATGGGAAGACCTGGAGGAAGCTCCAGGTTCCTGGCTTTGGATCAGCACAGCTCCAGCCATTGTGGCCAATTGGGTAGTAAACCAGTGGATGGACAACCTCTCTCTCTCTCTCTCTCTCTCTCTCTCTCTCTCTCTCTGCCTTCTCTTTCTGTATAATTCTTTCAAATAAATAAATAAATCTTTTTTAAAAAAATCCATATAAACAACAATAAGTAAAAAGGGAGACCATCAGAATTCTCAACCTTTTCAAATTTAGTAACCCAATAGATTTAAGGATTTATGAAATAGGCATTTCTGTCACTTGCATTTATAATACTGCATTGAATTGACTGTCCATGAGGAAAATTTAAAAAGCTTCACATACAATGTATATTATGAAAAGGCTGCTTGGATTTCCAATTTTTTTGCATCAAAATAAACCTTGTAATTCTACTTTTCCATGAATTTTTTGAAGTTCCTTCATATTTCCTTGTAGTAAAAGACAATAAGTGCTGCGTGTATCTTTGCTTCTAATGATGGTTAAACACAAAACTTTGATCTTTCTTATAAACACAGCTGTTGTCCTATCATTGGGCCAAATCCAGATAGGATTAGACTCAGGCCAAAATTAAGGTTAATCTTCACAACCATCTCAAATAAGAACTTTCTAATACTGTTTTAGGAAATATCTATTTTTGAGACAAAGGAAATAAGTCCCAGACAACTAACCTCTAAAGTAAGCCAGAGACAGCTCAGTGATAAATTACACCACAGTGATAAAGTGAAAACTGTCTAACCAAATAAGTTCATTTGGGTTCATTTTTACTTAGACTAGAATGGTACGAAATGACTTTCTTAGTTAACATTAAGTTTAAAAATTTTTTTTTAATTTATTGGAGATGGAGCTCCTGTCAGCTGGTTCATTCCCCAAATGATCATAACTGGGGCCAAAGTCAGAAATTCAATCTAGGTGTTCAGCATGGGTAGTAGAAACCCAACTACTTAATCATCTGCTACCTTCCAGGGCCTGCATTGACAGGAAGCTGGAATCAGGAGTAAGGTAAAGAACCCATGTACTCTAATATATGCTTAATTGCTAGACCAAACACCCATCCCAACATAAAGTTTAAATCAGACCAATAGAAGTTATTCATTGAATTTTCTACCATATTTTCTTGATTTAATGTTTCTTGGGCTAAGTGTTAATATTAATGAAATTAGTTGTTTTTTTTTACAAATAACTTGGATATATTGTAATTACTATGTAATAGCTCATTTTGATTTCCAGCCTAACAAATTTTTCATTAAGATTTGACTATCTGGAATTTTTTCCCAAAGAAGCCTTTTATTTAAGGAGTACACATTTAATAAGTACAACTTTAGGAATACAGTGATTCTTCCCACCATACTCACCCTCTCACCCCTACTCCACCCCACCTCCTCCTCCCTCTCCCAATCCCAGCCCCATTTTCCATTAAGCTTCATTATCAATTAACTTCATACACAGAAGATTAACTCTGTACTAAGTAAAGATTTCAATAATTTGCAAATATATACATACACACACAAAACTGTTTGAAAACAAGTTTTACAGTTAATTCTCATAATAACAATTCATGGACAGAGGTCCTGCATGGGGAGTTAGTGCACAGTGACTCCTGTTGTTAATTTAATAATTAACACTATTATGTATGATGTCAGTGATCACCTAAGGCTCTTGACATTACCTGCCATGGCTATGTTAGCCTTTTGAATCCACAGTCTTTGTCAGTATTTAGACAAGGCCATAAGCAAAGTGGAAGTTCTCTCCTCCCTTCACAGAAATGTACATCCTTCTTTGATGGCCACTTCTTTCCACAGGAGTCTCACAGAGATCCTTCATGTTGGACATTTATTTTTTGCCACAGTGTCTTGGCTTTCCATGCCTGAAATGCTCTCATGGACTTTTCAGCCAGACCAGGATGCCTTAAGGGCTGACTCTGAGGTCAGAGTGCTATTTAGAGCAATTGTCATTCTATGAGTCTGCTTTGTGGACTGCTTCCCATGTTGAAACATTCTCTCCTTTTTAATTATATCTATTATTATTTTCTGTCTGGAATTTTAAATTGACAGGTGTTTTGTAGGGCTGATTCTTCTGAGAATTGGACACTGATATGCCTCAAGCTGTGAATAGCTAATAACATTTCTCTACAAATTGTCTGTTCCAGAATATCTATGGGTTTATCCCTCTCCTGAAGCCTACAGAAATCTAATACTAGATTTATCTAATGGGATGTCCCTGAACTTGATTTTACACAATTATAGGACTTAATCATATATATAGTTGCTTCAGAGATCTAGCCTCATCTTAAACTTACCCCACAAATGCAATAAACCCCAAGCTTCTGGAGAGTTCTGGAATTCTGTCAGTGTTTTTAACTTTTCTTCTTCCATCCACCTGATACAAAAACTAAGATGTCTCTATATAGATATGTAATCTTTACAAAAGCCTAGGTCATCATTCTCCAATCTACTGATGGAAAAAAAATTAGGAGAATATAGAATTATAAGGGTATCTCAAAAAGATATTAGAATTACCACCATCAAAATCTTTTTTTCCTTAGAAGTCATACTTTTCAGGGGTCCTTGGATGAAATAGCCCCAAAATCAATCATGCTCATATTTCTAACAGATATTGACTTCAGTTATCCTGACATGCCACCTTCTGCCCCAATACACCGTAACAGGTAGGAAAAGAAATGAACTTGCATCTCATAGGGAAACCACTTCGAGTCCTAGCTGCTCCACTAGTGCCTTGGAAAGCAGCAGAAGATAACCCAGGTGCTTCAGCCCCTGCATGCGGGAGACCCGGGAGAAGCTCCTGGCTCCTGGCTTCAGATCAGCCCAGCTCCGGCCATTGCTGCCATTTGGAGAATGAAACAAGAAGATGGAAGATCTCTAACTCTTTCAAATAAATAGATATATACATAAGTACATACATAGATAAATACTATTGATGTAGGAAGGGAGGTAGCTAGCAAAGAGGAGCAAAGGATTGCCAGCACTGCGCTACAACCTCGCCACCCCTGCAGCACCACACGCACCACCGAACCCCACCCTCTTCCGTGCAGGCTACAAATATCCGAAACCACTGCTGGCTGTGTCCCCATGGTGACCTTTAGTTTATTATAATGAAATTGCCAACATTCCCACTCCCATCATGCAGGAAATGCCATAACACTTCCAAGATTTTTTTAAAAAGGACAAGGAAATGGGTGGTACTCAAGCCCAGCCCCATATTCCACCCACTTTGAATATTCATTAAACCTCGCCCCAGAAACCACGCCCATGGCCCCAGATCAAAGAAAAGAAGGGCTCCAAACTGTTAGTTGCTCTAACTGATCAGTGCTCATTCCTTGAGTGTGTACTTTCACTTTCAATAAACCATGCTCCTCTGCTTACCTTTCCTTACGTCTCATTGTTGAATTTCTTCGGATGTTGAGATAAGAACCTGGACTAAGCCTACATAGGGGCCGCTCCAAAACACTATTTTTGAAAGAAATTTCAGAATTTTGGCCGGCGCTGCGGCTCACTTGGCTAATCCTCCGCCTGTGGCGCCAGCACACCGGGTTCTAGTCCCAGTCAGGGCACTGGATTCTGTCCCGGTTGCTCCTCTTCCAGGCCAGCTCTCTGCTGGGGCCCGGGAGTGTAGTGGAGGATGGCCCAAGTCCTTGGGCCTGCACCCACATAGGAGACCAGGAGAAGCACCTGGCTCCTGGCTTTGGATCAGCACAGCGCAACGGCCGCAGCGGCCATTGGGGGGTGAACCAATGGAAAAGGAAGACCTTTCTCTCTCTCTCTCTCTCACTGTCCACTCTGCCTGTCAATAAATAAATAAATAAATAAAAAATTTCAGAATTTTAAGATGGGTTTCCCAATATCTCACCCATTTCCTTGCAGTTTCTTCCAAGATCTAACCTCATTGTCCATCCACAACCACCTAGGATTCCTCAAAAAAATTTTTTTATTATTATTAAAAAGAGCTTCACAGATTGGAAACCACTTTCCTATATTGACTAGCTCATAAGCTTTGACTTTTTCTTTTTTTTTAAGATAATAGCAAAGGCTATACCATGACCATCTTGGATTCTAGAAACAAAGCTCTGTGAAAAAATGTTGATGTTTAACTTTCAGATTTGTTTTAAGAAATTTTATGTGGTTGTGATTCAAAATAACCTGACTGCTTTAAGAAATCCAGGTGCTGAGTCATTTGCTGAAATAGCCAAGGGGGATTAATTAGAAGCAACTGATCATGGCATCATTTGCTACCTTTTTTTTTTTTTTAAATAAATGGAATGGGTTGCCCTATGAAGAGAATAGTGCTGTCTAAGGCATGTAAAGCTCACAACTGAGGCCCACCTCATCTCTGCTCTTTCCCCACCCAAGGTGAAAAGCATCTCAGTGAATTTTAGATAAAGTACCATAGCTCTATAAAAATGGTAGTGGTTACTCCTAAGAGGAATAACCATGGGTGACATTTTATACCCCTATGCAGTTCGCTTTACTTCTAAGTTTGCTGTAATAAACATTAATTTTTTTATTAAAGGTTTATTTGAAAGGTAGAGTTACTGGAAGAGGAAGTGACAGAGATCAGTCTTCCACCTGCTGGTTCACTCCCCAAATGGCTGCAACAGGCAGGACTGGTCCAAGCCAAAAACCAGCAGCCAGGAACTCCATCCAGGTCTCCCACATGGTTGGCAAGGACCTAAGCACTTGTGTCATCTTTGCCACTTTCCCAAGCCATTAGCAGAGTTGGATTGGATGTGGAGCAGCCTGAACACAAACCAGTGCCCATATGGTATACCAACATCCGCTGAGAGACAACACTGGCCCCAATATTTAATTCTTATTGTCAGTTCTTAACTTAAAAATAAGCATATATAAACTGTCTACTAGGTGCATGGCTCTGTTATAAGTGTAAGGGAATATTAAAAGATGAAAATTGGCCTCTGACCTCAAGGAAATTACTAAGAGTTTGGAGGTACCACGTGGTCACAAAAAGATAAAGGTCACATGTGCTGAGCATCCAGGGTGATGCAAACAAGGAGTGGTGTCAGAATTCAACGGAGCAAAGGGCCTTCATGATCTTCATCTTCTAAGAAAAGGTAGGGAACTTGGGTTTCTAGAACACACCTCTGATAAGGAACGTGAGTACTATTTTCAGGGGCTGCTAAAGCAAGAGGTCTGATTTAGACACTGGACTCAGAATGTTTAGGACAGCCCCTCACTGCTCATGCCCCATCTCCTGTCAAATGCCCTCCACCTGACTTGCATAGCCAGGCAGACACTCCTCCTCTGATCACTTCTTGAGAAATCCAATCAATGAGGCTCTAAACTCAGAGTGAAGTGTCTTCCTGGAACCCAGGGTACGACCTCTAAGTCCACCCACTATATGCTGTATTCTTAGATTCTGTATTTATCTATTTGTCACCTATTCCAAATGTATTAACAAACTGCTTCCTGGGTAGCATGTCTTTTACTTGCAAAGCAACAAATTCTGTGCACATATTCCCCCACCCACCTCCTTACCTAATTCACACATGAAACCCATGTTTCCCCTGTACTAAATAGACCCAGGCCTGGGTGCCTCACAGCCAAGGACAGCCCTTATGCCCCAAACCCAAGTGGCCAAATTTTCCTATCCTAAACCATAGGCCCTGGCCTGCCTTGCCTCCCCAGCAGAAAAGCCAGTAAAGGGTCTGGCCAGGCTTTCTTCCCAGCCCTGTTTTTGTTTCCTGACCCAAATCTGGTGCCTCCCTGTGTCCCTGCAGGGCACGATGTGGCCCCTTCTCTTGGGGATTGTCAACAATCAATTTTTCCCAGGTGTTAGCTTCTCTGTGTCATTACTCAGTCACCTCCATAAATAAAAAGCCTATAGGCACAAATGAGACAGCAAGACTTTTTGCCTCCCAAAAAAAGGACAATCACAAGGTGGTATGCTCTTCTCCTGGGGATTCTCTGACTGTAAATATCTTTCCATCTTTTCACTTCAAGTGGTTGGCTTTCTGGGGAATCAAATGTCCTGTATGGAGGATAGGAGCTCACAACCCAGCTTACTGAGCGAAGTTAGAAAACCAGAACAAAAGAAAGGAGTAGCCTGAATTCATCAATTGAAGGAACTCAGGCAGAATCCGTTCACTTAACCAAGTCTCAACACATGATTTACACTAGTCCTGCGAGATGGAATGGAGAAGGGTGTGGGGTTGGAGACACTTTATTTTCCCACTATTGTGAGCCAACACTATGCCTCCCTAATGGTTCCATCCTGAAGCAGAGCAGGGTGAGACACAAAAGAAAAATGAGATCCCATTTCTCACCATTCCCAGGATGAGAAAGAACTTACCCAGGATAAAATTAAATAACAGCAATTCTCAGTAATCTACTATGAAAACAAAGATAACTATTGAAAAATTCTTTAGATTTTTTACTGAGTACATGCAGGTGGCCCTTTGAGATCAGTATTCATTACAGTCTTGTTTTGCCTCCAACTTGCACTACAATAAATGAAATCTGGTAACACATTTTTCATTTTTTACCAGTGAGAGAAAGCCTCAAGGAAAAAATACATATTTCAGAGAATTTCTGGCAGTTGGCCATGTCTTCCAGCTATAGATGGTTTTGAATGGTGCTGGAAATTCAGCTATTAGAACGTGAATGGCACTGCTGTCACGAGCTGTGCATGACTAGTGAACAGTAATCACTAGGGATCCTAGGAGGAGGAGAGAAATCCACTCCTTCTCTAACTAGAAATCACATCTACTAGCTTTGTTTTTATCTTTTTTATTCACCCCTAAGAAACCAAACCACTTTTTAAACAATTTTTGCAACTTGTCAACTGAAAAGTTTGTATTTCTATGGTTGTATACTACATATGAGGGTGACTAAAAAGGTTCATAGAAAATGGAATTTCAAGATAAATTCATTCTGGTGCAAAAACATTGAAAATCATGCATATGGGAGGTCGTCAAAAAGTTCTTTGGAGGGACTGGCATTGTAATACCAGCATCCCACAATGGAGCGTCAGTTTAAGCCCCAGCTGCTCCACTTCTGACTTAGCTCCCTGCTAATGTACCTGGGAAAGCAGCAGAAGATGGCCCAAGTGCTTCAGCCCCTGCTACCCACATGGGAGACCCAGATGGAGTTCTAGCTTCAGGCTTCAGATCTGGCTACTGTGTCCATTTAGGAAGTGTGCCAGCAGATGAAAGATACTCTCTCTCTCTCAATACATAAATAGATAAATCTTTAAAACAGGTCTTTGGGAAATGAGTACTATGAATAAAGCATGCATAGATTTCAATTTTTAAAAAAGACATGTATTTATGTGAAAAGCAGAGTTACAGAAAGGCAGAGGCAGAGAGAGGGAAGTCTTTCATCTGCTGGTTCATTCCGCAAACAGCCAAAACAGCCAAAGCTGCACCGATCTGAAGCCGGGAGCCAGGAGCTCCTTCAAGGTCTTCCACGTGGGTGCAGGGGCCCAAGCACTTAGGCCATCTTCCACTGCTTTGCTAGTCCATAGCAGAGAGCTGGATCAGAAGTGGAGCAGCCAGGACTTGAACCAGCACCCATATAAGATGCCAGCATTGCAGGCGGCGGCTTTACCTGCAATGCCACAATGCTGGCCACAGATTTCAAAATTTTTTTTTTTTGCATCAAAATAAACTTGTCTTTTAATTCTATTTTCCATGACTTTTTAGAAGAACCTTCATATATGAATATGCCTGCTACACTTACATAACCATGGAATCACTGTCCCTTTTTCTTCTGATTGGGAGTCCCTCTTGGCCCTGGAGAGGAAGCCTAGCCAGGCAAGTTGGAGATTCTGCTCAGGGAGGCTGATCAAGAAAATATTCAGAGCTGTTAGTCCCACCAAATCAAGGATTCATAGAAGCTGGAGTAACATGTGGAAGCACAACAGTCATTAGGCCCAAATGTCATTCAACAGATACTTCCTGAAGTTGTACTGTATGTCAGACATTGAGCTAGGACATTAACAGTAAACAAGGCAGAATCTCTGCCCAAAACTGATAATCTAGTAGACACTCAAGCAAACTGGCAGGCATAATGTGTACTAAGGTAAGATTAAGCAGAGCATGCTCTGAAAGCATACATTGGAAGAACAGTTCATTTAGACTTGGTAAGTCAGGGAAAGCTCTAAGGATGGCTGGTAAGACTTCTACTACTGAAAAGCATAAAGACGCAACAAAGCCCTTCATACCTGAGGTAATAATAGGATATAACCAGATCAAACAAAAACCATACTTCTCCAAGGAGCCACTGAAAAGCAATGGATATAAAAAGCCCTTACTGAAATAAATTCAAGAGATTTCTTGGTCTACATGGAAACAGAGGAGCAGAGAATTATGGCATTGCCAAATCCAGTGAGAAGGGCTTGGTCCAGGTAAAAATAAGTGAGAAAGTGATGCTCAGAGACTTTGCAAAGTCATGAAGACACCAGCTAAGACTACCAAATATAAGATGCTTGGACAGACTTGGACCTAACAGGAAAGCAATCACAAAAATAAATCTCTTAGGTCTGCACCCATCCCCAAGATTGCTAGGAGGGGCCGGGGCTGTGGCCCTCTTGCTGTGGTAAAGCTGCGGCCTGCAGTGTTTGCATCCCATAGGGGTGCCTGTTCAAGTCCCAGCAGCTCCACTTCCAATCCAGCTCTCTGCTATGGCCTGGGAAAACAGTAGAAGATGGCCCAAGTCCTTGGGCCCCTGCACCCACATGGGAGACCTGGAAGAAGCCCTTGGCTCCTGGCTCTGGATCAGCGCAGCTTTAGCCATTGCAGCCAGTTGGGGAGTCAACCAGCAGATAGAAGAC